ATTTAATTAGATTATCTGTTAATTTGTTGCGTACACACTTGGTTTTGCTTTTAAGCCGTTACTTGAATAACGCGTATGGCAGCCAGTGCATGGGATTTTTAAATGTGATAAAGTTTCCTGCAGTCAACTGAAGTTAAACAAATTACATACTTATAGATATGATATTTGTAAATTAAACAGTGAAGTATAACGCCGCTGTCAGCAGGTAATGACGCATCCACGAGATACTTTTCGAATTTCATCTTCACTGTTTATTCGCCACAGCTGCAGAAGAGAGCAAAAGTCAACAGAAGCAACCGCCAGTGAGATAAGAAATACTAGAAACATGTTAAGCCAAAGAGCAACGTCAATACAAAGCGAGCAACATTAGGAAGCAGACAGACGGACAGGCATTGCAATGGCATTCCAGTGCCAATATCATTGACGACTACTTTGACTACTTCGACTACTTATGTCATCCAGTCAAGCTGGTATGGTTACTATTTTTTGTTGCAAGTGACAACGAGAATTGCAAAGAATCTAAGCACACATATCGCATACATACGTACAAAAATATGTAGTCATAAATAACGTGTGGAAATATGAGTAAATGGCGTGAAGTCAGTTTAACACTGTGCACTGGCTCACTGTTGGAGGAGGAGATGAAGGAAGGGGAATTTATAGAATATCTACTATTAAATTTAACTTAACAAAATTGTATCAATTATGAAATAAACTAAAAATTTACAAATGAAAGTTATTAAAGAAATATAAGTAAAAACTAGTTTTTAAAACAACTTTATAAAAAATTAAGTAACTTTTTTTAAATAATCAAGCAATTTTATTTAAAAAAAAAATAAAATATTTCATAAAATATAACTAATTTAATGAGAAGTAAGGAAAGACAAAGTTCAGGTGCAACCGAATTTTGATCGGAATTTGGGCAATTTTATACATAAATATACTATATATAACTCATACACTACATACATATGTATGTAACTTAACATATTGGTTGGAGTTGAGGTAGCATCGACACGATTTCAATTAACTATTATCAAGGCACAAATAGAAAAATTTTTTATTAAGGAACTTCACATACAGTCACCAATAGTATGGAGCAAAATCTATTTATAGTTACACGGGGCTAGGTGACGTTTTCGCCCAATTGTATCGATCATAGGCACAAAGATATATATTATGGTAAGTTTATACCTGGAAGTTTGAAAATCTTTCTATTAGGTATATGAGGCTCGGGAATGTATTGACCCGATTCAATGCATTTTTGAAGCACAGATTTACTATAGTTAGGAAAAGATTCTGTCTGAATTTCAATTGTATGTCTCACACATTAACCGATATTTTCGGTCAAAAGTCAACTGTAGATACTGGGGTCTACAAAATCGATACCTAGGGACTTGAACAGTTTTGGTTGGATTTGAACAATTTCTGGTAATAAGTTCTTTAAAAGAATTATTAGTGCAAAATTGTATGCCGTTACATTAATTACTTTTTGATTTGTGTACTAGAAAGTGAAAGAATCAAGTGGAATTTAAAATTGTATTAAGTATATGTATAGGAAGTAGGCGTTGTTGTTGTCCGATTTCGTTCATTTGCGCACTGTGACATAATAATATGAGAAGAATGCTAAATTTTGTACAAATTAAATTGAAATTCGTCGTTCGATGCCCAAAGATGTGATTTCACCAAACAGTGGGCGGTGCCAAGCCCATCGTCCAATTTTCGCACTGGCTTCCATAAAGCTCTCTCATGCCATCTCGGAAGTATAATTTAACCGTCCGGTCAATGACCAAACTTTCACCATTCGTTCAACGATCGGGTACCCAGGTGAAGCAGATGTAGAAGTCGTTGGTATACTGAATAAAAATTTTTTTTCTGTGTAAGTTGGCTACATGGCATAGGAAATAACAATGGATAATTCCTTCACAACTCTTCCACAAGCAAAATTTGGACTATCATGGAACTTGACGATTGTTGGTACTCTGAAGAAAAATAAAGCATACATTCCACCAGCAAAGGCTGTTTCAAAAACTCGAGAAGAATTATCCACTGTGTTTGGCTTTCATGAAAAAGTAATCCTATGTAGTTATGTGCCAAAAAACAAGGTAGTAATTATGCTAACTTCAATGCATTACGAAGCAAAAATTAGTGATAGTGCAAAGAAAAAAACCGAAATCATCGAGTTTTATAACTGGTCTAAAGCTGGAGTAGACGGATAAAATGCTTGGTAGATATACTACAAAAAGATCAACTCAACGATGGCGTCTAGCATTTGTTTACAATATTCTCGATATTGGATGCCTTGTAGCATATATTCTGTATTATGAGACTAATAAAATGCTTGATAATAAATCGTATGAACGACGCTTATTTTATCGACAATTGGGCAGAGAGCTGTGTACTCCATTCGTTGAAAGTCGTGCGAATAAGGCACAAATTATGAGGCATTTCTCAACGAAAATGGCGATTAGAGATTCAATTTCGTCGAGCTGTCAATAAAAATGCGCAGCCAACATCATCTGTATCATTGAGACCTCAGAAGCAGCGCGATTCAAATGGAAGGAAAAAAATTTCTGGTATACGCTATGAATGTCTTGAAAGTGAATTCAAAAAACATCGCAAAACTAGGAAAATATGTTCAGTATGTAAGAAACCTATTTGCGATGAACACTGTATTACAATCACGACATGTGAAGGACGTACAGAATAATTTAATATACTTTAATTCTTATATAGCACTGTATCATAATAAATAAAACAATATAAATAAACAAATTTTAAAAAAATAGAAAATAATATTACTAAAATAAATAAAAACGGAGTTATTTTGTTCTTACTAACTATTTTTCTTGTTGTTTATAATAAGAATTATTGTTAAAATAAAAGAAATTGTAMATTTTATTGTCTATTATTAATTTAAAAATATAATTATCTGAATACTTTAATAAATAATCTTTTATGAGTGTGTAAACCCGTTATTTATATATTTATATCGCAGCGGGTACCCGGGTACCTGGTTATCGAACGGAGGAGGTATCAAGTTTGATAGTTAATAACTTTTATTTAATAATTGATTCTAAAAATTTTGACGAGAAATGAGTGTCAAATAACTTAAATTTTGGGGATCGAGGCGGCCATACAATTTTTTTTTTGTGGAGGAGTTAAGAAAAATTGACATTTAGATTGAAATGGATACCCGGGTACCCGGGTACCCGGTCATCGACCAATTGCATCAAGTTTAATCAACATATCAATGAAAAAATTTTCCATGCAACCACTTTATACCGATCGTTCAGTTTGTATGGCAACAATATGCTACTATAGTGACTTTGGGTGAAAAGAACGTGGAAGCAATTTCATACCGATATATCAAAAACGAAGGTACTAGTTTGCGTATATACAGACAGGCAGACAGATCGACGGCTAAAACGACTGGCCACGCTGATAATTTAGTTATTATATATTTTATAGAGCCTCTGACATTTCCCTCTGGGTGCTACACACATCATGGCATACTGTTTTGAATGTTATAAATATAATGCTATCGAAAAAATTAAGTAACGGTAATAGAAAGCAAACTACATCTCTGCATAACTTGCACTCAAACCGTTAAGTTTAAGTTGGCAAGATTTATTATGAAAATTATCTTAATTTTAAATTTAGGTTAAATTAAAATTTGCTTTAGTTTAAATTTAAAGGTAAAAAAATTGTAGATTTGTTTGATAATGGTTTTTAATTTAACTAATTTCAATTAATTTTATA